CTCCTCCACCGCTGCTTCCACCTACACCGCCACGGTCACCGCCTCCTCAACCTATGGGTCACTTAGTATAAATATGTACACATTAGCAGAGGCTTGTGAAGGCCTTTTCTCCATGAATCAGGAGTTGAGCATTTCTCCATGCATCAGGACTGCAAGAAATGCACCGCAGGCCGCAAATGTTTTTTTTTTTTGTATGTCCCAATATTTTGTGGGCTACCACAATTTAAAAAAAAACAAACATAAAAAACAGTGTTTGCTACCTCATCCTCCTCCTCCACCGCTGCTTCCACCTACACCGCCACGGTCACCGCCTCCTCAACCTATGGGTCACTTAGTATAAACTATGTACACATTAGCAGAGGCTTGTGAAGGCCTTTTCTCCATGCATCAGGAGTTGAGCATTTCTCCATGCATCAGGACTGCAAGAAATGCACCGCAGGCCGCAAATGTAACATTTTGTATGTCCCAATATTTTGTGGGATACCACAATTAAAAAAAAAACATAAAAAACTGTGTTGGCTACCTCATCCTCCTCCTCCACCGCTGCTTCCACCTACACCCCCACAGTCACTGCCTCCTCAACCTATGGGTCACTTAGTATAAACTATGTACACATTAGCAGAGGCTTGTGAAGGCCTTTTCTCCATGCATCAGGAGTTGAGCGTTTTTCCTTGCATCAGGACTGCAAGAAATGCACCGCAGGCCGCAAATGTTTCTTTTTTTATATGTCCCAATATTTTGGGGGCTACCACAATTAAAAAAAACCCATAAAAAACTGTGTTGGCTACCTAATCCTCCTCCTCCACCGCTGCTTTCACCTACACCGCCACAGTCACCACCTCCTCAACCTATGGGTCACCTAGTATAAACTATGTACACAATAGCAGAGGCTTGAGAAGGCCTTTTCTCCATGCATCAGGACTTGAGCTCAGTTTGAACAATGAAAGAGAATACCCTGCACTCCAGCCCTGTCTCAAATGGATAATTCTGTTGATCCTCCTGACAGCCACGCTTTAGATTTTGATTTATGTTCTTCCAAAGCTAAAATCAAAGATTCCATCTAGTGGTATTTTATGGCTCAGCTGTATTTTAATTTTTATGTTATTTCCCTATCCACATTTGTTTGCAAGGAACTTGTCCTACTCTTACCCCCATTTTACTTCCTTTTGCAGCTCTCTACCCCTTTCAAGGAGTTTTTAGAGGCATTTTTGTGCCCAAAAGTTCGGGTCCCCATTGACTTCGATCCTGAACCCGGACTTTTTTTCAAAGTTCGCCCGAACCCGCCGGACCCGAACATCCAGGTGTCCGCTCAACTCTAGTGGAGAGTTATACTGTATGAAAAATAAAAATGTGAAGGTAGTATGGGCAATTGCCATTCTTGTGGCTCCGAGACTGGGAGCTGCCTCTAGTCTTTGGTGTCCTTGGATGCCTTGTCACCTCTCCTGGCTCCATTCCAGATTCACTATTTACAAGCTGGGCATTCCAGGCACCATAACAACTATAGCACTTTGTGACTATTGTGCTTGAAGTGTTTCTTTAATATACTCATGCAATTAGGCCCATTAATATACTCATGCAATTAGACCCATGATGCCCTTTAATCTGGCACTGTGAGGTTGCACTCAAGTGATGTCATGTGCATGCAACACCTGTAATGTGACATGTATATAACTGAAACAGTTGTGAAATCACAATCTTGCTTGGCCTGCATAGTTCAATAGAATATCAGTGGAAAACACGGAAGCAAGTGCAGCATAATTTTTTTAATTAAAAGAAAACTATTAAATAATTTTCAAGATGATATAAATTATAGGGATGCACCGAAATGAAAATTCTGGGATGAAATCGAAACCCGAAAATTCAGGATGCCCTTGGCCGAAAACCGAAACCGAAAAGGATTTTCCCCCACTAAATGATTTGTTTAGGTTATATAGTGTGTGTATGGAATATAGTGAGGTGTGGGAAAGGGATGTAGTGTATATGTGTGTAGGTTATGTATTGTGTGTAGGGAACATGATGTGGTGCAGTATAGAGATGTAGCGTGTGTAGGAGGGAGAGGGTGACTGGTGACAGAGTGAGGGAGGGGGTGACAGAGTGACTGACGGAGGGGTGACAGTGACTAAGGGAGGGGGTGACTGGTGGCTGTTGACAGTGACTGAGGGAAGGGATGACTGGTGGCAGAGTGACTGAGTGACTGAGTGACTGAGGGAGTGGGTGACTGGTGAGAGTGACTGAGGGAGGGGGGTGACAGTGACTGAGGGAGGGGGTGACTTGTAAGAGTGACTGAGGGAGGGGGTGACTTGTAAGAGTGACTGAGGGAGGGGGTGAGAGTGACTGAGGGAGGGGGTGACTTGTAAGAGTGACTGAGGGAGGGGATGAGAGTGACTGAGGGAGGGGGTGACAGTTACTGAGGGAGGGTTGTTAGAAATACCTTTTTTTTTC